TTCTGAGTTTTTTTTTTTTTTTTTTTTTGAGAGAGAGATATTGCTATAGGACATGTGCACTCGCCAGAGAGACAGAGAGAATATGAGAAATTACCCCCCAGGGAGGATGGCCATGCCGCAGTCCCTTCTCCATTCTCCTCTCAGGATCTTAGGCATGCACACAGATACACCCAGTGTGAGTTTTAAGCTGCAAGGTCTGGGACTCAAACTGCGGTCAATTACATGGGAGTCCAGCAATGCAACCATTATTGCCATCTGCTGCTTCTGAGTCATCTTATTTTTTTATTTTTAATTTTTTTGGAGAGTTTTTTGCTACAGGGCATGTGCACTCACCAGAAAGACAGAGAGAGACAGAAAGCGAGAAATCAACCCCCCCAGGGGGAATGGCCATGCCGCAATCACTTCTCCTCCATTCTCCTCTCGGGATCTTGGGCACGCACACACACACACACGCCCGGCATTAGTTTAAGCCACCGGGCCTGGGACTCAAACCGCAGTCAGCTACTTGGGAGTTCAGCAACATAGCCATTATGCTAACTGCTGGTCCCTGAGTCATCTTATTTTTAATGTTCTTATTTCATGTGCAAGATCATTTGCAATCTCTTAAGATAATCACTGTTAATAATCTCTATAGTTTTGGTATATAAGGAGTCTTCAGACAATTCATAGAAAATGGGCATCATGAAAAAACTATACCTGGGTTTCAAAATTTTTACACCAAAATGAACTCATACTTCAATTTCATTTTACTTTTCTTTTTTTTTTTTTAAGAGAGATTTTTTTTTCTTTTTATCATATGGTGCATGCACTTACCAGCGACAGAGAAAATGAGAAACCACCCCCCAGGGGGGATGGCCATGTCACAATCTCTTCTTCTCCATTCTCCTCTTGGGATTATGGTCATGCACACACATGTGCCCAGTGTGAGTTTCAAGCCACTGGGTCTGGGACTCAAACTACAGTCAACCATGTGGGAGTCCAGTGCCATAACCACTGTGCCACCTGCTGGCCCCTCAATTCCATTTTTCTATGAACTTTTATAAAAGTTTAAAGAGATGGTATGTACAACAGAGGGTCCAAAGTGTGTTCTGTGGAACAGTTCTTTGGGATGTTGACAGGTTTATTCTGAAAGGAAAATGGTTCTCTGGTCAAGTATATTTCAGGGACACTAAATCTTATGTACTGCTGTCAGAGGTTTTCAGAGATAAAGTAGAGTCCTGATTCACTTAAGGAGGGAGATTGTTCTGAGAGATGTGCTGTTTGGCGATGTCTTTGTGTGAACATCCTGCAGTGTGCTTACACAATCCAGATGGTATACCCCAGTACACACCCAGGCTGGACGGCACACCCTTTATAATCTTATGAGCAACTGTCCTAAATGTGGCCTGTCCTTTCCCAACACATCATTATGTGGCCTATTGTACTTTAAACCCAGACTTAACAATGGCCAATACTGTCTTGTATAAGTTTTCTGATTTTATAATAAATGCAATGATTGGTTGCTTACATTTGCTACTTAAAGATAATATATGTTTTTAGCTAGAAAAGTTTCTTTGTTCATTACCTTCACACATGTATAGCATTATCATCCTCAGGGAAAATTGCTTTCTAGAGAGAAATTATCTAGTACTGTTGGGAGTAAAGTTTTAATTGATCTTTTTCAGATAACAGATTCAATACTTTTAAATATTTCAAACACATTTAATAGAATTCTTCCAGACTCCTTTGACTTCTTCAATACCATGTGATAAAATAATTTAAGACCAGTTATTAAAAACTATCATTGTAAATATTACAGTACTGTCCCATTGAGTTACATTTATTTAGGGACTTTGATGTGTTTGGAACTGCTTGCTCTCACATGCAATGTCTGAAACACTTGGGTTTTAGTTTGTTGTAGTCTGTCCTTCCTCTCTCCAGCTTTCACATCTATTAATGCACCCTGCTTCTTTTAGCCAGTTCATTTATTTTATATAGAGGAAAGGATCTGATATGATTTTGAGACCCTGGCTTTCAGTGCTCCAGATTATCTGTTTAATTATATAAATATTCAGTCAGAGCAGTGGAAACATGCATAGTACGTGTGGAGTACATGTTGGGGTTCTCCCGTGCTTGTGCACCGTGAAGGCCTGAGTGCAGCAGTGTAAGTAAGAGGACACCACTGGGTGGTGGCTAGGTATGGCTCCTTGCCTTACTGCCTGGTCCTGGCTAACTGGAAGGCTGAGATAGGGGGATCACAACATGGCAAGGCCCTGTCAAAAATACCCCTCTCCCTCTCTCTCTGTTTTTTCCTTCCTCTCTCTCTCCCTCCAATGCTTACTCTGTTTTATTAAAAAAAAAAAAAAAAAAGAAGAAAAAAAAGGAAGGAAAGAAGATAGACATACAGACATCTAGTGCCTGATTTTTTAAGTTTTTGTCATAAGGTGCATGCGCTCACCACAGAGAGACAGAGAGAGGGAAAGTGAGAAATCACC